CTGTTCACAACAGCACAAGATTTACCCGATAGAAGCTGGTTTGTATGTCACCGAGATGATGATAAATATGTTAATGCCATGAAGGGAGGGGTGAGTGTTTACTTTTTTTCTGTGTTAGTCTTGTGGTAACCACTCTATATGCTAGTCAGCATATTTTAAAGGAACAGGATGAACATTCCTCAGCTCTTTGTTTCAGGCTAAAATGTTGTAGTTTATTCCTGGAGTTACCCAGAGCGCAAAAGTGGGCTGAAGAATTGGAAGCAGTTGTTAGGAATCAGCAACAGTTTATAAGTGTGGTAGCTTTCATTGGTTTAATTTCCTTACTTTGTAAAAAGAGAACAGGAATAATGGTAGAGTGAAAAACTGTGGTTGCATAATTCCTTAAGGTCCTTTAAGTACTCTGTAATTAAGATGAAGAGCATTTTAAAAAAAGAGTGTATGCTTTATTGAAACAATGTTGTGACAATTTTTTTTTTATTCTGGGATTTCCTAGTGTAAGCAGGTTTTCATTTCCATCCTCATTATGAGTAATTTGACAGGTGATGCTTTTATTGGCAAGCTATTTTTCAAATACTTGAACTATTCTGTTTATTCTGTAGTGACTCGAAGTTGGTCTGTCAGGGGATAAAAGCTTTGAAGGGTGAAGAGGGGTTTGTAGGTATCCATCTGTCTATCCAGTTTTATTCTCTGGGCATGGTAGTGGGGGGACATCCTTTCTCAAATACATGGGATTGCAATGTTTCTTACTCCTCAATACAAGTGACTAAGGTAGGATACACATTTTGGCTTAGAATGTGTTGATCTCCCTGCTTCTGGTTCTTTTTAAATAAAGAGGATGCTCATCCAAAACCTTTCTCAGTTTCAAACAGTTACTTTTTGATTTGTGCAACTTGTTATTTCTTAACATCCGATGTTCCTTGTTCATATGGCGAGATGCAGCACTCAAGACAAGATGCTGCACTCCATAGAACTGTTTTTGTAGTTGGGACTGGTTTGCATGCAAGCAGAAAAAGCTGGAGCACTGCCCTAGAAGAGGCGGCAGGTATGCAGGTGCAGCAGCAAGTGGGGCCTTGTGACAGTGGGGGCCGCTTTTCACATGCAGGTTTTCTTGCCTAATGGAAAAGAGAGGATCCCTCTTCACTAAGCTTTTTTCTCACTGCTTTTACGAAGGTGCATGCAAGCACACACGAAAGGTGTGGCAGGTGTGTTATTTTGAAAACAGGAATTAAGTTCTTCAGTAAGATAAGATGCAGGAGGGGAGACTTTTGAAGAAGACTTCATTTTTACTGTTTTTTTCCCCCCTCATTTGGATTATAAAGTAATCTTTGCTATATTTTCATAGGTAGAAAGTGGAAAGTTATGGTTCTTAAAAACCCTTCTCCAAATATTAAAAGAGCTGCTGCAAACCTGCATTCACATGCATTCTGCCAAGCAGATGAGTGTAAAGTAACAAAAACCAGCATAGCCTTTGCTCTCTGCTGATTGAAACTAGTTAAGTCTTTCACAGGTTCAGCCTTGGCCTGCTGCTATTGCCTTAATGCTACTAGACCGGTCGCTTTTATGGCATTTTAGCTTATTTTGGGCGTTCATTTCCAACCAGGTGACTTTCAACCAAGGTATAACCAACCGGGATCTGTATTGGCTTCTTTGAGAATTTTGACTTTCATTCAAGGTTGTTTACCATAAATTAACTGTCTGAGATTATCAGCCAGATGCTCAGAACTTGAATTTTGTCCCACTACACTGCTCCAGCCTGGTGTCTGCCTTTCATCCCCCCCTTCCCCCCCCCACCCCCCGCAGGTGTCAGGACCCTGCTATTCCAGTAGAGGTAACAATTTGATTAAATGAATGATGGTTCTGCAGCATTACTGTCTCTATATTCTAATGCTGTCGTGTCACTGATGGTAAGTCTGAAGTTTTGTGGTTGTGCTTCTCAGAGCAACTCTCCTCTCTGCCTCTCCTTGCCTCCCACCCAAAAAATAGACCCCAAAGCAACGGCAGTAACATCCCCTACTGAGGAAGTATTTTGTGCAGTCACAGGGGAAGTAAAGACAACGTCAGCTGTCAAATCTTATGACAGCTATGTGATTCTTGTAGGAAATGAATTTAAAAGAGAACTCAAGTCATGGGACAATCGGTCTGTTGCTTATTTGTGTTGATAGCAATGCCTGGAATACAGGAATAAACTGATAAAAAGTTTTTTGTAACAGTGCAAATGTTTCAGGCACTGTGCCAGGTTTCCAAGAACTTAATAACAGTGCTGTCTCCTGAACTGCAAAGGCTCATTTCTGTCTGTAGTGCCGCAGCACTGAGGGCCTGGAGCAGGTCTATGGACTTCACCAGAAATGTCCCTTCTCACTGTGAATGGTTATGTCCAAAACCTGCTGGAGTGAGCAGTGCTTCCATCAGAGCAAGCTCTGCTCTTTTTTTTTTTCTTTAAAAAAAAAAAATTATCTCCTGGAATCTTTGATAAAGCTGTTGGTTCTGACACTCATGCCTGACTATTTTTTCCTCCCATGTTAGGCACATTACAAAATAAACCCCTGCTGACGTGGAAATCATATAAACAGAATCCTGAGAGGGTTTTCTCCAGAGCTGTCCTTTGCAGTTGCTGTTCCCTCTGTGCTGAGTACCAAGAGACTCTAGGAGAAGCACACAACTAATTTGAGTCCCTTTAGTTCAAGGTGGTGTAAGGTCACAGTGAGAAGTGTTTTAAAAACTCTGAAGCCCTGTAGAAACTGTGTGGGTGTGTGTTTTGTGTCCTGCCCTCTCTTTTTCCGTTGTTTAATGGTCCTACTTCTTAAGCTGTAAGGTGGTGTGGTCACTATTCAAAGTATGAAGTGGCCCATGTATCAAAAGTACTGAACTATGTCAGTCACCAGTGAGTGGGGCGCAGCATCCTAAAATATGCAGGTAAAGTGTTTACCTGGCAAAGTTCAGAATAGCTTCCTCTGCTTTGCTTGGGTTTTGGCAGGAGTACAGTAGAATGAGTTTGCTGGTTCTCCCTAAACACTTTCCTATATAGCTTGCATGAGAGAAGCAAAAAGCTGCCTTAGAAATGTCTTGAATACTGAAAACACTCTTATTCTTCTAATTAGTTCATAAACCTCGTCTCGAGTGGTAGGTAGCACTCTATCTGGTAGTTAAAAAGGAGGAAAAAAAAATGTTTACTCCTTCACTACTTTCTGTTCTTCCTTTCATCAGGATAAAATAGTGTGTTTTATTTTATGCAGGAGTAATTTCCTGGTGCGGGGGGGAATGCATATTTTAAGGCTATTCTGTGGTTTTGCTTAATGGCCACGGGGAGTACAGCTGTTTTCTGGTCCCTAATCAAAATCACTTGTCGGGAGGACGCCTGGTGGACAACGGCGGAGATGCAGGGAGGGTCACTAAAAGATTGTGCCGGTCTGCAGTTACTTGGGAGGGGGAAACACGGTGGGCATGGGCGTATTGTAGAGAAACTTTCCTTCCTCCTGAAGGCAAGGCCTGTGCGTGAAGTCTTCAGGAAAGTCCTAGACTTCCCAGGCTCATCTTTTGAAGAGAAGTGGGTGGCAGTCTGGTTTCTCTGTCAACTGTAAACACCTCACAGCTACAGATCACTGCTGTCCAAAGCCAGCAAGAGTGTCTTTATTCTTGAATCACTTCAGTCAGTTTCATTGTTTCATTTTACAGTTACCAAAAGTTACAATCTTCAGATAACACTTACAGAATATTCAGGATTTTCTCTCTGACTGCAGCTCAGGGTGTTTGCTGGCCAGAGTTCCCACCACGCCAGGAGAGGTGGTGTTCATATTGAGGCTGACAGTTTAGGAAAGGAGCTCTGGAAGGGCCAAACAAAGGTGGGAGTGGTGGGGAGGTGGGAGGTCGCCTGAACTTTTTGTCTCAACAAGAGTTGCTTTGTGTTTTGCCTTTGAGGCTGAGTGGGGTGATAAGAGCAGACAAGCAAAGAAACATTCAGAGAACTGTATACAGCTTTACCTGGTGCTTCTCTGTGTTGTACCAATGAACTTCCATCCCTGAATACCCTTCTTTGCTCGACTGTTCCTGTTCCCAACCCCTCCTCTGCCCTCTTCTTTCAGTGTATGTGTCCCCTCCCTTCCTTTTAGTAATCCTCTTGTAGCCTTTCTGTTTCTTTTTGTCTTCTCCCCTCCCCAGTATGGAAAGGATATCACCTCTGCTACTCTGTTTTTATTTTCTTGTGTCCTTGCCCATAGTCCTTGTGTCTTGTCTTGTTTGTTGCAAGTTCCTGAAGGTCCTCTATTTGTCCACTCAACACTTAGCATGGTGAAGCCTTGCTCTTTGGCCTTTAAAATGCTCTTGTAATAAATACAATATACAGTAGGAGTTTTGTCTGTCTTGCACCTGTATTCATCAATGAGAGTTTGCTGCTGTAATTTCTTTGCCAGTCAAAACTGTGGTTTGCTCCATGGCACTTATTGTTTCTCACTTATGAATTTTTATTCAGCTTTGAATGTGAATGCTGTCTCTGAAAAGTTGCTATAAAGTTAAAAAAACAAGTAAACAACAACAACAACAAAAAACCCCAAACAAAATAAACCCCAAAAAGTGAGAAGGGAGATACAGGGGAAGGAAAGTATCTAAGTATCTAGTTGTTTTGAGACTTGATTTCAATTAAAAACCAAAACCAAACAAAACCAACACAGCACACCTGTTCAAGCAGGCCTTATTTAAAGAGCTGAGACTAAGTAGGTAGTATATTTTCCCCTTGTACCATAGCTGTTCTGGTTGAAACACCCAGGTTTCACTACCTTGCTGCCTGCTGATTTTATTAGTTATGTAGTGACTGGTATGCTCTTGCAACTTTGTTTGCTGCTGAGCGACTTGCAGAGCAAGACAGGAGCTGCTGCTGCCAACAGTTACAGATGGCTGGAAAAAGAAAATTGCATTCTGAATTTAATATTAACTCATTTCCGACTTTATTATCAAAAATCAGAGTGAGTAAGAAATAAAGTCGTCATCATTGTCTCTCTCTTTATTTTGTAGTTTTGCCAATTTGAGAATTCACCCTCATGGATTAGTGTTGGTGGATCTGCAGAGCTACAATGATCATACGAAAGGAAGAGAGGAAGTTGATCAGGTATGAGTGATGCTTATCTTGCTAGGCTTATCAAACTGCATGGGGAGTCCCTTCTTTTCATCAGGTCTACCAAAGTATATCTTAGTAAAAGACTTTTAAATATCGAAGTTAGTTCAAACCTGAGTGCTTACAGATGAGGAGTAATAACACTTATTGTAGTTGCATACACATAGGAGTGAACATGCACGCATGCGCGCGCTGTCTCTTTTGCATGTCCTGGGCCTCATGTTCTTTGCTGTAAAAGTTGTAAAGACATAGCAGCCTTGGTTAGGGCTCAGGTCTCTTCAGGCAGGGCAGTGAGGGAGAAGTGATGCTCAACCTGCCTGGTGTATTAGTGTAGGACCTTTTTTCCTTCTCTAATCTGAGAGATGGGGAGCCTCTGTACTGAAATTTTTTCCCCATGGAGAAAAATAATTCTATCTTCCCTGTTATGAAGGCTCCAGAAATTGGATGTTGCAAGGGAATAGGCCACTGCTTTGGTGGGAATGAAACCTTACTGTGTTCTCATGTTCCCTCTTTGGCTGTGCCTGAAAGTCTGGCTATGTTATCCTGGAGGAGAGCTAAACACAGTGATGACAGCTGCTACAATATTCACATTCTTGCTAGTAATGAGGCTAAGGTGACCAGCTAGTTATTCATCAGCTTCTAATGTTACATTTCAAAGCCTTTTAGTGCAGGTGCTACTTTTTATTGCTTTCCAAGTTGCCTAATTTAACAGATATTTTACATTAAGTGATTACCTATAAATTCCACCTCTCTTGTTTGCTATTTTTTCAGCTTCTAAACAAAGTAGAAGAAAGAATGAAAGAATTTTTTCATGGTAATATAAAAAGGGTGAAACGGTAAGTTCATATATCTACTTCTGTATGTGGCTTGTCTGCATAGTTGCTAAAGATAATAAGCAAATTATGCTTTGCTGTACTGCAGTGAATAGCCTGGAGTATGAATTTATGGATGTGTGTTTTCCCCAATATTTTAAAATTGTTTTATTGCAGAATTGAAGATACTGTGAGGTTTGTCATTTTGTTAAGCTTCATCTTCAATATTGTTACTTTGGACAAGGATTATTTCTTTAATTTGCTGCAATGGTTGCATGAAGTGGTGGGAGAAAATGCAACCCGGAAGCAAGAGCAGACTGCTCTGGAAGGGCTGGGGAGCCAGTGGTGGCAGGGGGATAGGCCAAGGCATGAACCCTACCCTCCGGGCCACATCCCACAGCTTGTGGGCAAGGCAAGCAGGGCTGGTGATGGTGACCAGGGTCAGCCCCAGGCTGGGCTGTAGTACTGAGGCAGCTCTGAGACCAGACTGGGTTGCTGAGGATCACTGAAAGACTTGGGCAGGGACCGGGGGCAAGGGCTGGAGCTAAAATGAAGCTCAAGCCCATGGAGGAGGGCTTGACAAGATTTCCTGTGTCTTTCTCTCACAGCTGTGCCCCTGCTGTGCCTCGTGGTGCTGGCCTTGGGCATGTATGACAAAAACTCCGTGGGAACCTGTGTGCTTAGGGCCCTGCCAAGGAGATAGAAATGTTTTGTAGCAAAATTTTTGAATATAGCTGAAGGAGGGAGGCTTTGCAAGCCTTCTGTCATTTTGGTTTACTTAAATACAAGGTTATATATTAAACTGTAGGGATGCTAATTGTGGTTCATTGCCTGCTGCTGAAACAGCATGCATGCTGGAGCTCCCCAAGGGTCTGGAAGGACACAGCTCATGCTGCTGTCTTCCTGGCAGCTGTCTGGCAGTGACTGGTACCTGGAAGCCAGGGAGCACTTACTGCAGGTATGCACTTACTGGAAGATGCAGTGGGTGCTTTAAAGAACTTAGAAGTGGAAATGGTTTAAGAAAAGTAAAGCAGTGTAAAATCAACAAGATTCAGTAAAACCAAGGAGCGAACTACAAAATGGGAAAACAGCTAAGCAGTACTATAGCAGAAAGTAGTCTGGAGGCTATATAAGACCACAAGTAAAATGGTAGTGATTTGAAAAGTGATGTAATTCTTTGAATATTGGTTTTTTTTGTGTTTAACAGTTGTATGTAAAACACGGAGGTAGTTACCTTGCTTTGCTCTGTTGTGGTAAAGCCTCACCTGACACACAGTGTGCAAATGTAGATAATCTTGTGTATGTGTATATGGGGGTGAAGCACTCTCTGAGGATATTTTAATACTGAAATATGTTATTGGGAGTTTGTGGAATCCCTATGATAGGAACTTGTTAAAAATGGGTCAGGAAAAAGTCTGCCTGAAGTCATCTAGATTAATTTATAGGAAGATGAACCTCTTAGAACAGTGGATCTGGCATGGATCTTGTCACACACCCCTCAACTCTTTTATCTTTTTTTTTAATTTGCTTTGCATCCTTCTGGTGTGAGCTTCACACATGCAGCTCCATTAGAATTAATGCTGCTGGAAAAGTTGTTTCTGCCTTTTTGTTGTCCTGACACAGTGAATCAATGTTCTTGCTCTCACCGTGTGCTGCCATCTTGCGGCTCACTGAGGGTAGAAAGTATTTCTGAAATGTTCATTGAGAATCACTAGTGCATTTAGAAGCAGCTTGTCTGTGTCTGGTCTTCTGCTACATCCTCCTCTGGAAAAAAAATAAAATCAACCTTAACTCTCTGAAGTGTGTGTGGGAAATCTGATTAATTCTGTGCCTGCACATTTTGCTTAAAATGGAATGCAATAATTTGGATCATTCACTGCCATTTCAAATATAGTTTGTCCTTACAGGTGAAATACTGATTTGAACCAAGATACTTCTATATGGAATAAAAAAACCCAACCAAACAAAAAAAACCACAACCAAACAACAAAACCAAAACAATCTATGCAGATGCTTGAACCACTTTTAAAAAATAATGCACACTGTCAAGGATTGTGCTTATACACTGCAGGGTGACCTGGCTCAGTTTGAAACACTATAATAGTATACTTTTTGTGTTTGTTTATGTATTTAAAATGTCTCTCAGTACAACTGTAGAAGGGTTACTAAATCTAAAGTCAACTAATCTAAAATCAACTAATCTCAAAGAAATGGCATTCTTAGCTGAGCTGAAGGTGGGAAGAGGTTTTTTCGTGGCTATTTTTGTCTGCATTCTGCTTTTGTTTTATATCCGTTTCTAGTCATGAGCTGATTCTTCTGTGGAGGCTGGTATGTTATATAAATCCCGTCTCTTAGGGTAGAGAGAGATTCACGTGCACATTGTAGAAGTTATATGTAACAAAAAACATTTGTATTTCATCTGTGCCTTAGCAAGTTATGTATATTTAACCTGTGGGTGATAGGTTTCTTATGTCTGAGTGTTAAATCTTGCAAGTTTTCTTAGATCCCTCTTGTAAATATTATTTATTATGGTGAATCCACAAAATGTTTAGAGGGAATTTTTTTAAAAAACAAACATTCTCAAATATTTTGTAATTTCTTTTCTTATTTCTTTCTAGATTGCCAGCCATTTTGAGAGGAGGTGTCATTGATAGATACTGGCCCACAGCTGATGGGCGCCTGGTGGAGTACGACATAGATGAAGTTGTTTATGATGAAGATTCACCTTTTCAGAATATTAAAATTCTGCATTCAAAACAGTTTGGGAATATTCTTATCCTCAGTGGCGATGTTAGTAAGTATCATCTCATTTGAGGATCTTTTGTGTGAAATTGTAGAAAGTGTTGTTTTCTATCTTGCTGTGGCAAAGTTTTGATAGATTACTAACAGTTATGGTTCTGATGCTGGAAGCTAAATATATGTATGTGCACATACATGTGCTCCTGCATTTAAAGTATTTTAATCAGAAAGGCTGACCAATGCAAAATCTAGAGTACAAAAAAAGATTTCTTCTTTTTCCAAAGTGGTCATCTTTGCTGTGGAACATGGCCCAGAAGAATAGAAGTCAGAGTGCTTTCTAGCAGAGCTTACTCTACTCCTTTCATATGAGCTTTTACCTGTTTGTTGCAAGTCCAGCCTCTTGGGGGCTTTTCTTTGACAGTCAAACAAGCTACTTTGTTAGTCTTCAAAATGCAGTGGAATTCTGAAGAAATATGAGGAAATAGGGGCTGGTAGGTATGTGTGGATAATCCTGCTGCTCCTTCATTCTCTAAGGGAATTACAGCTGTCCTGTGTCTCATCAAGCAGGTATCTTAAACCATTTAGTTGCTTTGTTGGTGAACATCTTTTGACTCTGTCGTCTTCAAATTGCTCAGTTGAACTCTTAAGTTAATCAGAAGAGTGACCCAGCCTTTATGGGAGGGTCTTTATATGTGGTACTCTGTGCCTGCTGATCTTTGTAGTTTTGAAAGTGAACGTGGGAGAAGATGGGCTACTGTTCTTTTAAGCTGGATAAGAATGCTGTTTGCTAGGCGTCACGGAGTATGCTTTATAAAATGTCTCAGGACTTATGTTGAAAAGTACTGACTGAGGTAAATGAGGGATATTGCTGTCTAGGGCTAGAATACCCAATTTCAGTCTAATGGCAGAGTAATTAAGAAATTTGACTATAGCTTTTTGAAATTGCCAGAAATACCTCTAACCATCCAGTTAGCTCTCTACAACTGTCAGGGGGACTTCTGTGCAGATGGCAGCTGAAAAGTGTTGCTATTGAATTCATTAGCAAGGTATTTTCTAATTCAGTTAGAATTGTATTTGAAATCACCAAATTAGGTATTCCATACTTCTAGCCAGAAACTTTCATCAGAGCTTCATACGGAGATGAGGTTTTGTTTGAACGTTGTCACAATGTGCCTCATAGAAAGGGAAGTATGCCATTACTTACTTACCTTCCATGGGATTTTAAAGTACTGCTTTGTGTCATTTTGATATTGTGCACTTATAAGTGAAGTGCTGATTACCAGGCAGAATGATAGGATATGCTATGATGTGCTGCTGCACAAAGCTTTGCCCTTGTATCTCCGAGCTGTTATTACAGGTTAGGAATGTTATTGCCTGCTTTGAAGCTAATGGTGAACAAGTCAGCAGAAGGCATGCTTCAGGATCCTTCAGCAGTTAGGTGTTAACAGTCAGACTTATGCTTCTGTGCAGGGATCCACTGGTATGCATCTAGGTTGCTCTTTTTAGTTGGGGTCCAGAGTGCTTTCAAAAATCTCCTGATTTTTCTCTTGCAGCACTAGTCTGAGGTAAAAACCCACTGAAGTATCAAGTGTGGACGTCAAGTCTTGCATACTGACAGTTTTGCTCTACAACTTTGCTTCTCTTGGCACACAGTACTTCCTAATGCTGAGGTAGCCATTGGGGTTTGTATTGAGAACTAGAGAAATCCTGTGTGGGGTTATGAGGAGGATTTCATTAGCTTTGGTGAATCACCAGCCTCCTGTTACCTAGACTGAGAGCTAGGTTGTTTCTGTAGATGTTCTTGCTTTGGTCTGTGTTACATTGCCTTTGGATTAATATCCATTCATGAGAAGAATTAAACCCTTCCTTTTCCTTCCGTTCAGATCTGGCAGAAAGTGACCTGGCATATACTAAAGCCATAATGGGCAGTGGAAAGGAAGACTACACTGGGAAAGAAGTGCTAATCCTAGGAGGTGGTGATGGAGGTATACTATATGAGATAGTCAAACTGAAACCAAAGATGGTTACTATGGTAGAGATATCCTTTGACAAATGACTGATCATTCGTTTCAGTGTTTTTCAGCCTGCATTTTCTGTTGATGTCTTAGCATTGAGCACAATTTAACTATCAGGTTCTGATTTGCGTGAGGAGATAGGGTCTAAAATGAAATTTCTTTTTGTCAGCTTAGAGAGACCCAGTGACTACATATTTGTGCATCATTATTGTAGCATGTGCTTTCAAGTTCCCAATCCATGCTATAATTCTTGAGTAGCAATTTACGTAGAACTGGAAAGGAACACTTCTGTCATCAGACTGATGTCTTCTCTGGTAACAGAAGACAGGTTTGTCAAGTCTGCGGTTTGGGCTGAGTTCTGCTGCCTTGGGTTCTTCTGTTTTTCTAAAGAAAGCTATTGAAAAAATCCCTAGAAGCAAAAGAGTTTAATCAATAGGAATGTCAGGACTTGGTGAATTGTGTTGGTGGCAGAATGACCAACTCTTGCCCTGCCTTAAAAATACTGACACAAATAGCTTTCAATATTCTGTAGTCAAATAGTTTGTAATGTAAACCACTGTTAGCCATATGAAATGTTGATCATCCTAGGCTTTGGGATCCCCTTGCTAGAAACTAAAAATAATTGTTTTAAAAATGTAGGTTAAAGTCTTAACCTAGTTTAGCTTTATGAGGTTTTTAAGTACACTATCCTGTTGTTCACATTTCAAGCTTTCACAGTAATGGTAACCTAAGGTATGAGAAATGCTGGTTAAAAACAAAAATAAGCACTTCCTAAACCTCTAACTGAATCTGGAGGTGAATACATAAGGTTGGCTACTGCAATATGTATTCCAAGATACACATCTCACTGTTCCTTTGTGAATGTCACCTTTTTGAGAATTTCTTTCTGAAGAAATAGAAACTGTTACCTGTATTTCTGGAACATAGAATGCCTTAACCAGCTTCAAACATTGACCAAATGGTGATCGACGGGTGTAAAAAATACATGCGTAAAACATGCGGAGATGTCTTAGACAATCTGAAAGGAGAGTGCTATCAGGTAACTTTTTGGTTTTCTTCCCTTAGAAGTAATATTTCAAATACAGTTATACCTAGCCTGGAAGACTTCTATGGCAGAGTTTTGGGGAAGAGTCTTCTGATTTTTCTTAATTTTGGGAAGGATGTTTTTCCTTTTTATGACACTTCTAAATTTTAATATCTGGCACTGGGGTTTGTGTTGGAAGTATAAATTAGTGTCAAAATATTTTAAGTCTCCATCTTCAAACTCTTTTTAAAATAATTACATATAGCTTTTAAGGAATGTGAAATAGGAGAAAGCTTATTGCCATAGCTTACAAGTAAAGAGGAAATAGCAGTAAGGATGCAGTGCTGAACATCATTCCTTAAATTGACAAAAAGATAGAAGAAACCTGTATTTAAGTTAGCTGTCCTATACTGTTGAGAATATCAGAATTTGTAGTACACATTTCATTTTAAAATTATTTTTAATTTGTAGGCAAAATCTCTTACCATTACACTGGTAGTATATTAAAAATCTAAAAAAAAGGCATTTAAAAAGAAAAAATTAATGTATCCCTGCAGTTAAGGTCTTTATGTGCTGCATCTGACAGACCTTACAAACTAGCCCAGGTGTAATCTGACATCTTCACTGGAAACCTTTTCTTTCTGTTTTCATTACTGCTCCTTAAGGCTCTCACAGATACTAGTTTACAAGTATAACCTAAAAAAAGCATGCAAAAAATTAGACACATGTGACTTTGAGTCAGTGGCCCTTCATACAAATACCTTATTTTACTCTTTATGTTGGGGGACTGCTAGCTGTTGTTACCATTTGGTAGGTAGAACAGTGGTCACTTAGCAATCAGTGACAGCTAGGAAATTCAGTCCTGTAGTGCCTATGTCATCATTGTCATAATTCCTACAACTGTTACTCCTTTTTATATGATGTGAAAAGTTGAAAATGGAGCCTAAATTAACTGCATATTTAATTTTGTACTTTCCCCTCCTCTTAATTTCTATGAATCTGCATTCGTTCCTCTTGCCTGGTCAGTTTTAGGGTATTTTGAGGACTAGCTACAGTATTTCATTCTTATAGGTTCTAATTGAAGACTGTATTCCTGTACTGAAGAGGTACGCCAAAGAAGGAAGGATGTTTGATTATGTAATTAATGATCTGACGGCTGTTCCAATCTCCACATCTCCAGAAGAAGGTTAATCTTCTAACTTATTTTCCTAAACTGAGGAATTACCATGTTTCTGCTCCTCTGCTGCATAATAGTTGGCAGTTGCAACAAAAATACTTTGATTCTTGCCTTTTTAATAGCAAATCTGTAAGGCAAAGAATGATAGTAACACATCTGTTCTCTTTGAATTTTTCTTGAATGTTAGGAAAAATTAGCAAGTGCCTAGGACTTTTTTAAACTGTGCTCTTATTCCAGAATAATATGAACTCACGTAATTCTTGAGAAAGTATTTGGGGAGTTCACACTCCAGTAAATTTTCCCCGCCTCTGATTTCTTGGAAATGTGGAAAATTATTGTGTAGAAAAACAGATACTTCCACCATTGCCATTGTGTATGGGTTGTGTGTGGGTTTTTTAATTTTTTTTTGTTGGTTTGTTATGTTTTTTGTTTTGTTTTTAAAGGTATAGGATAGCTACTTTTTAAACAGTAGATATGTTGCAAGTCTTGAATTTCTAATAGTGAACAAGCCAGTAATGTGCTGTTCTGGTTTTAAATCATACTCTGTATGCAGATTCCACATGGGAATTTCTGCGGTTGATTCTTGACCTCTCAATGAAAGTCCTCAAACAAGATGGAAAATACTTCACACAGGTATGATATTGGGATGTAAAAAAGTATTGCTGTATATGTATTGCAATCTATATCTTTCAGGTTAAAAAAAAAGGAAGAGGACAAAACCAAACCAACTAAATAAAAATCTGCTAGCAAGCTGGTTTTCTCCTTTTAACGATGCATTAGGGATTTTTGCATGAAACTTGGGCTTTGCTAACTGACATGTCTCTTTTTCATTATTTCAGCTGAATTTGTAGTGCTTGTGTCTTGAAATTTAAAAGCATAATTTCAAGAATCAGCTAGGCATACTACAGAATATTTTAGCTGGAAGCAGTTCTTGGAGAAGCAGAACAGATGTACTTTATAAACGGATACATGGTTTTTAAGCTAATGTCTCCAGTTGTAGGGTGTAAGACATGAAAATTTGTCATCCATAAAGGTGTAAGAATTTGACATAGGTGTAATGGGATGAGAAAATTAGTCATTTGGGAGTAAATACTCTCTTTTTGCTTGCTCTCAACTCCTAATGCAAGTCACTGGTTTGGCTTCTGCAAAATGGATTTTGAACATTTGAATGTTTGCTACAATGCTTGGCATTTTCTGAAGTATTTTGTATGGTCATAAATAAGATTTTGTCCTTGTGTATGAAGTTCTTAATGCAACTCTATTTAAAAATAAATAATTTAAGATTTGTATACTTGCTACAGTACAGCCACCTCATGGATAATATAAATGTGGTATAGCTTTCATCTAAAGATACTTTATGTATGCAATCCCGAATTCGGAATGCCACAGAGCTGCATGCAATTTTACAAAAACGTGACAAGACCCAGCAGACGGTTGAGTGAAGTATAAGTCTCTGAAGCTGTATTTCTTTTGTCATGCCCATACCTTAATAGTCTTCTGATGTGTGGAGCATTTAAGTACAACATTTTGAAATAAACTTGTTAAGCTCTGAAGTAGCCTAGCTAAATTTATGTGTTTGAACTCTATTCCTATCAGCATAGAGTTTGAGGTGTGTAAAGGACCTGGTTTACTGTAAAATTGGACAGGTTTATAAAGAAATGCAAAACTCGTAGAATGAGGGCTTTTGGCAACTTTAATGTTCTGCTTTATTTTAAAATGCTGTGGTTGCATGGGCAAGATAAATTATCTTGTGGTTGAAATGTAAGATATGACTAATATGGTTGTATCACACTGTAAATCTTAATGGCTTTTCTATTCTGTTAATAGTGGAAATATTTATGGCAGACTTTGATATTGAAAGGATACTACATCTTTTTGGACAGAGCAAGCATTTGTGTTGCAGTTGTTTTAACATACACAGTGAGACTAGCTGACTTTATTAGAACGTATGTAACTGTATGTCTGTGGACAGGTATCTGTCAGACTCTGCAGAAGGACCCTGGGATGAAGCTTGTGCTGAAAGCTGGAGTGATGGGTGTGCTGCAGCCAGGGTACAGGGAGGTTGTTTTGTGTCAGCTGAAGCCAATAGAGGTTGAGGCTGGTGCAGCCCAGCTGCCTGTCCTGTCCTGATGGGAGGAGATAACTCGGCTTTCCAGCATCTCTGCTTGGAACAGGAAGAAAGGAACCGGCCCTGGCGGGTTTAAGCCATAGTGAAACTGTGCAATATCAGTTTCACAGTCCCAAAGCAACAAGGTGGGGACAGGGCAGGATGGGAAAGAAGCAGTATTAAAATTGAAGTGCCTTGAATTTGGACTTGTGGCTAACTGGTAGCCAGTGAAAGGGCTGGAGTATAGAAGCAGTGTGCTCTGGCAACTTGTCTTCTGAGGGTGCTGAAAAAAAGAAAAATGATATTGCAGCAAACAGCTACCAGAGCTTTTGATACACCTACTGATAAACTGTCCAGCCCATTTGATGGTCCTTGTAGCCTCTTCCCAGTTGGGCCTGATTTAAAAAGAAAAACAAACAGAAAACCCCTTAGAAAACTCAGTAGTCTGACCATAGGAAGAACAGACTTCTAGGGGTGCTGTAAATAAAATCAGCTGTCTATAACTGTCTTTAAATTAGCTTTTGAATTAAACTGATTGAAGCTGGATATCCAAAGGATTGGGTTAGACTATGGACAGAAGTTCAAACATGACCACTACTGGCTTTGGTAGCTGAGCTTAGTCACGCACTGGGAACTCATAAATGGTTTGGAATGCTCTGATGTGTTAGCTGTTAAATGCCAGGGGTTTTTAGCTCTGTGTATTAAAGTTGGAAATTTAAGTTACTTTTGTTCCAACTGTCTACTTCCAGGATACTTATCTTAGGTAGCAGGCTGTGCTTTACTTGCTGAAGGAATCGCATACCTTTTAAAGCAGTTGTGGTTCTAAAATCCAGGACTTTGTGTGCCCCACCCCCAGGCTTTCTTGAAGTGTGGTTTGGTTCTCTAAAACATTAAATGTGTTAAATATCATCAAGAAAAGCAACTGGGGATTGTCCACCTATTTGTTAGAGCCTGACCTTTGCTATGATGAGGAAATATCTCATAGGAAAGATGCTGCAAAAGTCATTGTCCTGTTGGCTCCTGGCCAGTAGCTGTAGTTGCTTCTTCTGCCTTGGCATTATGTTGTACTAATGTTCGAAACTTCTGTCCTCTGTAGTTTGTAGCCTGTCCTCTGATGGTTCTGCTTGCAGGGGTTACCTTGTGCGTCTTGTTAGAATGTCATTTATTTCAATGCTCAAGAAATGCTTTACCCCAAAGTGGAATTCTGTTCACAGAATGCCAGCCTTTCATATACTGTATTGCTGCCTGACTCTAAGTGCCACTGCTGGGAAAAATAAATGGAAATGCTCATCACCTCTTCATGAGCTCTGCACAACTTTTGGAAAATGTTCTCTTCAGCACATGAGTTCTCAGCAGCAGGGTCTAGAGCTGCCTAACTCCAGATATAATTTATCTGAGATGATCAAAAGAATTATTTTTTTTTTTGGCATGCTGCTCTAACGCACCTGGTTGTTGCCTCGGGATGCCGTGGTGATCTGCAGTCTCCAAATGCTAATGCAGAATATGCTTTCACCACTAGGTGGAGACTGATAACTAATATTGCCTAGAAGTTTATTAACATTTATAGAGAGATTCTGCCTGTGAAAGGTTTTTCAGACTATTTATTCATATTCCTAGGGGATGCAAGAACATATGTAGCCAATTTTAGGATGAAGGAGGGACTTTTTGCTTGTTTGAGCTCTGGAAAGATAGAAAGGGCAGTTTATGGATCTTAATCTCTACTGCTGTAAGTCTGTGCTTAAGTATATCGGGGGAAAACGCCTCCATACTTGCTCTATGCATCCACAAATAGTAATCACAATGAGAACAAAAGCTTACTTGTACGGGTATAGCGGCCTTGCTTTTCACGTCCTTGCTTTTTGAGCTGCATCATCCATATTGAGAGTCTTGCAGCCTACATAGGACATAGAGGCGAGCTTTAGGGCCCTTAGCCTGCAGAACTTGCAGCCCTGTCTGTAAGTTTAAGACTTGAGGCTTGTTTGTGAAAACTTATTGTTTAACATATGCTCACTAGTCTGATGCTTAAGGGTCATATGGCTTGCTATATTTCTATTCTTCCTTCTCCTTCTGAAGCTGCTGCTTTGAAGTGTTCAGTGATGTAATATGGCTCCGGGTCTGTGAGGTGCTCAGCATTACAGGTGAAGGTTCCCAACCGTCACAGGGGAGCGAAGTGGGAGTCAGTGAGGATGTAAGAACTTGGCGTATCCCAAGGTCTGGTTTCATCTCTAATGGACCCTCCCAGTGACTTGTTTCTGAACATGTTGTTAAGTGTGTTTATGCTGTTGGACCTTCTAAAAGCCAGTATGATTTTTAGATTGCCCAAGTGATTTTTTTTTCAATTTCAGTGGAGTATGTGTACTTGTAGATACTTGTGTGACATGTTTGTATGTTTTTTCTGAACCATCACCATCCCGTGCCTTCCAAGTGGCACATGAGGATTGTCCCAACATGTGTGAAACTATGCTCTGTAAGATGCAGAGACTGATTGTAAGGTTGTCTCAGTGTGTCAGTGGATTACATGTAGCTAGGAAAATGCCTTTTTCTGTGCTAAGTTTTTGCTCTGGTGCTCTAATCCTTTGAGGTTGAGCAGGCTATCGTTTTCAGCCTGTTTATGAAGTGGAACCTTTGAACAGGAATTTGCTCCTTCTTAGTCTAGGTCATCCAACCCAGGCAGGATAGAAACCGTCTCAGACCACTCACAGGTTTGGGTTCCAGTAAACAGCACTAACCACTGGTGCGAGGGATCAGATGTCTCCCACATGCACATGCAGCCCTTCACTAAGCTGTTGCTTCCTGGCCGCTCTCTTAACACAGCGTGGCCCTGCCCTCTAAATGTCCAGACCACTGTGATGTTGCTCCATAGTTACACTCCTTTTTTTGGCTGCCGTGTGGGTTTTCTAATTAGCACTTCCAAAGAGAGAGCAGGGTTCTCCTTGACTGCAACGTGAAAGGAGGCTGGAAGAACGGAGGCATGTCCCTGGGTGAGCCTGTGTGATTTCTTGGCAGTTTGGGAGTCTTTAAAGGACAGGCATTTAATTTCCTGGTGTTATCGAGAGTTGAGTTTTAAATTAATTGATTGTTTGGCCTGCGGAGATACCTTCATTCAGGTTTGCCTCCATTATCTCCTTAAAAACCATCCCTGTCACCCAAACCTCAAGACTAGCTTTTAGGTGTTTCATGCTCTATGTATCGTTGCTTCTTACTCACTCTGAAGTGAGGAAAGAAAAAACCCCAACCTTGGCCATCTTCAACTCCAGCATTTGTCATTACAAAATAAAAATAGAAAAACATGTTAAATTAAAAATAAAAATTAAACTTCTCTAGTATACTGTCACAGACAGCGATGCCCAGTAGCAATGACATGTAGGGTAAGACATGTAGGAATGACGTGTAAGAAATGGGCAAGTATGGAAAAGGACCTTTTCATCTGCTTTCAAGTCACTAGTTTACTTTCTAAGGTTGGATGAAGCATAATGGCCTAAATAGAGCCTATAACCAGTTGATGGACACATCCCCTTTATAGGTGGGTAAAGTTAACTGGAACATACAGGGTTCATTTAAACAAATTATTTTTTTACTACTTATTTTAAGGAATGTTTTTTTATTGTCTGCCTGGAACTGTATTTATTATGTAAATTTGTTGTGCTGTAGAAACCTGAAAACTAAAGCTATGGTACTACAGAATGTATGCCTTCTGAAAGCCCAGACTTGGTGGTGGGAGATGGGTGTGAGCTGTCCAAGCGTGTGCAAGCACTGAGCAGACTCAGAATGCAAAGGCTGTGAAACAGTTCAGGAATTGTCAGTCTTAAACAAGCTCATATAAATACAGATTGGTTAATCTCAAAGTTTAAAACTGCCTCAAATACTTTCATGTCAGAGAGATGCTTGTTAAGGAGGAAAAAAAAATTTCAGCATTCCTCTATTTCTTCTCTGTCAAATTGTTTGACATGGAACAAAGATTAAGTAAGGGGGGTGGGGGGGTGGGTGGGCAGAGGAGTTTGGTAGGGCTTTTGTATATGTTGGAAAATTGACTGAACAGTGTGGGAGAAAAAAGAAAGTCTGATTTTGCTTATTTCCCTTTGAAAAAGTATAATTGGTGAGTCATCAGCTTTAAACCTTATTAAATACTGTTCAGTATTAGTTACTGTTTGAGTTTATGGTGGCTGTTCAGAACAAAAAATGTATTGCTCTACCGCATAACTATTTTCATTAGGTGGGGTGAGTTAAAATGAACACAAGTTATTGGACTGATCACTGTACTGCATTCTGGGCTTGGTTCCCTGTGTCATATTTTAGTGATATAAGAACATCTAAGTGTGATTGACATCTTTATCAACGCTGTAGTTTTGGCTGATAAAGCTGGTCACCTCTTGCAGAAGGGCGGTAATAGTGATTTTTCAATAACTTTTCTCTTTATTGAAATAAGTTCATCTAAGTTTTTTTTTGTAGGTTTGATTTTTGGAATTCCTAGCTTTTTGTTAAGTAAAGCCAAATAACTACAAAAAACTGTAACTGTACAGAGCTATAAAATCCTGTGGTGTGTCTCCAGAAGGAGAGGTTAATAGAACAGCCAGGTGGGATGTCTGAGCCTTTAGGTAAGATCTTGATTTGGAGATTGGGGAGTTGTGGGTTTGAAAAGTAAAAATTGCTTATTGGCATGTTTCATTGTTCCTGTAATTTGTTTTCCACACTGTCTGCAGTGATTTGTCTGTTGCTGGAAAAGGGAGAAAGGATGAAGTACTGAAGCGACAGGCTGGGAAACTGTGGATACTCTTACCTCATTGTGTATCCTACTAAACTTACTCCGTAATAGTGGTATGCTCCATAAATTACCTAGCAGTGGTTTCTATTTATGACTCAAATTACACACACAGGTTGTTTTTTAGTTTTCTTATGCATTCAGTCTGATGTTGAAAGAAAATTATATGTTTGGTAAGGGGCGGCTGAACCAAATAACTGCTATAGTCCCCTGGATAATAACAGGTTACTAAACAAGTACTACAATAGTCTGTTCATTGTTGTGCTTTGTGCAGTTGTGCTTAGTTAGTGTTCATCTCTTACCTTTTTACAAACCTCTTGTTTTCTGATACCCAAAACCAAATGTGATATATTCAATATAAAGCATGCCATTTTCCTTTACTAAATAAACACATACACGTTTTTTCGTGGAATATGATGAAAATTATAATGAAACACAGGTTTTATGCAAGTTCTTTTGAAAGAGAGATTTCAAAAATATGATTTTTAAAAGATGCTATGTATAGGATTTTTTAAGTTGAGGTTTTCTTTTCCACTTGTGGAAACTTAAGCACAGTGCAAAAAAAATCATTGAGCATGATGCAAAAAATTCAGAGGAAGAACAGTAGGATGAAGTCTGTGACTGTAAGAGAGCCATAGTTTTTAATTAGATCTAGCTCTTTTTTCTCAGTTGAACCATCTGCATTCTTTCACAGTCAGATGCAAGTTACACACGTTATCTAAGGGCATGAAGGGACAAGGTACCTCATTCAGTAATTGCAAGAAAAAACAAAATTTTGTGTGTGTGCATGTGCAAACGTTTCCAGAAGTCATTCAGAGCAGAGGGAAAAATACTGCCATTCCATAGGTAGAGTCTGTTGCTTTAGGCTTTCTTGTTCTTGTCTCTTTCTTGCAAAGTTCAGGGCTTTTAAACATCGAAAGCAGTACTCTGCTCGGAAGTGCTTGTGCTGGAAGGCTTTTGGTCTGTCCAGTCATGAACAGGAAGAGTCATCTAAAAACCAAGAAGCTGGCTGTGTTAGTAAATTACTGTTTCTTCCCTTATTGTTTTTATTTAACTAGACCTTTTTCTGTCTAATGCATGTCCTTGTATCATCGAGACTAATGTTTTTGTGATCTGAGATAAATAGCAAACTTTTGTGCCTCAGGTATCTTGCCATCATTATGTGGGACTTTTGGCTTGTATGGTAGGTTACTAGGAACTACGTATTCATTAACATGAAAGTTCCCTTTTTTCTTGTCGTTTTTTGTCATCTGTGGTAAACGTTCCTCCACTAGAAGTGGCAAAATGGGTGGGAAAGCTGAGGATTTTTATGTTGAAAGTAACTCTGGAGAAATGGTAGTTCATGCTTTTCTTTCTACTGATTAGAAATCAGAAAAAGAAAGTAGGCTTTGTGCTAGGTCAAGGTAAAAGACATATATAGTATAAGCTGGTAAACCCAACCATTAGGGAAGGATAGCCACACGTCTCCTGAAGATGTCTCATCCTGCCCTACATATGACCAGATAGGCACATGCTATATGGTCAGGGTAGATTGATTGTCATTGTATAACTTGCTGTTCATGTGTAGCATGCAGCATGTTTGGGGCCTGTAGGTTGAGCTGAAGGTTCCTTATGAAAGTGGTGGAGGTAGAAGACCACAAATCAATTCATCTGGCTGTCAGTGTGCCAAGGACCATTAACATCTTCTTCTTAACCAGAATCGCAGAATGTCTTGTCTCTATGCTGTGCCACAGCAACATACATTCATATCTGGTGGGTCTTGATTCAGTGTCTCATACTTGGAAAACAAAAGCTGAGTAATTTGTAGACTGTGCAGTGGTGACTATATTCAAATTTACTCCATTTTAAATTAGCGTGCAAATAACTTGTATTTGCCACACTCTTCTTAAGATCATCGTATTTAAGGTCATGAAGTATCAGCTAGTCTACTCTGTTATCTAGGCAAGAAAGGCAAGAAACTTAAGGTTTTTTACTAAAGTTGCACAACTGACTTTTATGGCTTTGGGTAGTTTGTGTTCAGTCTGGTGTTCTGCGGGCTTGCTGTTATCACTAAATCTGGAAATCCATTGTAGATATGGATAGTCACTTTTCTAATTAGAGCTTTCTCTAGATGGGCATCCCAGGTATATGTAACTGCTTGTTAATACTTAGCTTTGGACAAGGTTGTGCTTGTAATTAGGAGTTGGTTTTTGTTTTTTGGTTTTGTTTTGTTTTCTTAATTCATTACCATTTGTAATCCTGGAGATGTTGTTTGTATTCCAACAATGTGTTTGGATAATATTTGTCTGGGAAGGAATGCTGTGAGTTCAGTGTGTCTGATACTTCACAGTTGCACTGTTAAAGAAAAATCATCTAAGCACTGATTTTTATTTTGTTCAGAAAAGGATGCTACTAATATTCTTATATGAGGTAAGACATGGGTCGAAGAAAAGTATCGTAGGAGTCGCTTTCTTTTCAGAAGTGTTATACACAGAAACTCAAGACAGTGTAGCCTGCAGCCACAGAACTTCTGTGTAATCTGATATGTTTTGTCATATTGCTCTGTGGAAGATTCTGTTTAAAATGAATACGTTCTAGGGTTTTTATAGTGCATTTAAATGTTCTAAGACCTAGGCAATGTTAAATAATTGAGAAAATCTGGATGTTGTAATACTGTTCAGTAATGCATTTAAGCAATCATAAAGAAAATGATTATTGAGTAGATGTTATAGGTAAACAACACATGGTGGTCTGTTTTAACTGGAAGCCCTAATGGTTGCTTCTGCTAATGAGAAGATAGATAATCCCCCCATAGTTACCCTTTCTTGAAAACATACAAATGGTTGTTTGCTGTAGGCAGAATGAAGACAAGCTGTTCAGTATTTGCCTTGTAAATATTAAATATTAGAAACAGCATGTATCTGGTTCTGAAGTATGTGGGAGCCTTGCATTAATGTCAAAATGTATATATTCATCTGCAATTTTGCTTTGTTTCATTGTAACCAGGACTTTTCTTTTTTCTTCAGGGAAACTGTATCAATCTGACCGATGCCTTGACTTTGTATGAAGAACAGCTTAGCAGGCTTTATTGTCCTGTGGAGTTTTCAAAAGAAACTGTGTGTGTTCCCTCCTACATGGAATTGTATCCTTAAAGACTGAAAAAGAATGGAGAGCATGTATTAATAAACCAAGCAAGCCTAGATTGCTTAGAGGTAATGAACTCAAGTGCGAGAAAGCAGTTCTAATTTAAACACCATTAATGTTTTTTCACGGTAAATGAACTACTGCAGTTTTATTTTGAGGATAATTGCAGGAATTATTTTTTAAAGGTACCATAAATTCAGAGCTCGTGAAATGATCAACACCTTTCAAGATCAGGCTATGTTTTTGTTAGTGTTTTTTGAGTGTTTCCAAGTGTATTGTTTATGTGATGTAGGATGAACTGTATGATGAGGGTAATACTGCCTGGGAGTTCTGGCAAGGCTGTATCTTCTTTTTCTTTTTTTTTCTTTCACAGAAAGCCCCAAACTAACTTCATACAGATTAGCATGATCCAGACCTTTTAAATATTCTCCAACAGGTCTATTCTTGAACATATAGCTCAGACTGGACTTTTAATGAGGGGGGCGGGGGGGGGGAAGTGATTCCTAACAATCATTACAAGTTAGTGTTACTGAAAAAAAAAAATATTCCAAGTGGAGGGGTATACACATTTCTCAGCAACATCCCATTCCTAAAAATAATCCTTCAGAATTTCTTAATTTTATGGGTGGCAGGCAAGTTTACACAAGGAACTAGAAGTTTCGACTTCGAGCCCTTAGCTCTAGAGAGGCATTTTGATCTGTTATAGGGTGGTTCTGCTGGCTGTATTTCCCTTGAGTGTTTACCACTTGTGTGATCTCAGGAAATATTTCTGCAGGGTAATGCCTGCTGTGGCAGTCTCTCTCTTGACAGGAGAGATCTTTCCAGGATCTGCTTATTCATAATACGTTAAGTGTGTGAAACTCTGCAACAGCCTTTCTTCTGTTCTGTGTGTTCATTTTGCCTCCTTTCTCTGTCTCTCATCTTGATCCTGTTTAATGCTGTAGCCTGCTGTTCTGGACTCCATACTGACTGTAACAAGCTCCTCCTGTTTCTTGTTATTGTCAGCTCTCCAGTGAAACTTGGATTGATCTTAACATTTTCAAGACAAAAGGGTGGAAGAGGATATGAAGATATTTGCCCTTGTAGCTTAAAATCTCAGAGAAACTTTGCCTTTGCAACTGCCAGGCTTTAATACAACATGTATGTGATTGGAAGTATGCATCCTCAGAAAGTCTTCTAAATACTGAGTGCATTGTTTATTTGGAAGTATGCAAAATGTTTCTAAATGAATTGAGTAGCAAATGCTACTTCATTCCTTTGAAAAATGCATTTAATTGTTTCTAGTAAGTTAAATATTTTTAGCAATTAACTCATTAAAACTGGCCATTAAATAGGTATAATGGGGCTTGAAAGTGAACAGTTCTTAGAGAAATGGGGCAGGCTTTATTAGTTTGTTTTTTCTGAATGAATTAATGATAAAATGGTATAGGTTCAGAAATGTTAAAGGAGAAGTCATCTTGATGACTTCAGATTAGCCCAAAGTACTCTAACGTTTAATTTGGCCTTGGACTTCTGGTAACCCTTTACCTGCATTTCAGGTACAGGTTATCGCCTTTCTTGAAACTTAGATTTCCAAGTAGGAGTATGTATCTGAATGGAAGGTTATACCTAAATGCTGTTTCACAGATGACTCAGATGTGATAGTTTACAGCAGAATTGTGACATGTAATCAAATATTAGGGTTTTTTTTCTTTCTAAAGGATGTGACACATTTTTGACGTTCATTTAAGTGCCTGAAATCTCTTGAGCCATTGAACAAATCCTTCCACTTACGCAAATGTTCATTTTTGTAATCTGACCAAAACTTCCCTGTGTGGGTACCTGAATGCAGCCAAAGTACCAAACTGGCTTATCACTTTTTATTATTACTTGTTTTGCCTACTTCAGAAATTGTTGTGTGTAATTGTTACTTGAAATTCTGGTGTTTAGCAGTGTTGCTGTGGGGGTTATCGGAAATTCAAGTAGCTGTTGACATAAAAGCCAGCTCTATTTTAAGGAAAGCGTATGTGTCTCTGAGGTCTCCACCAGGACCTTACAGTGAACATGGAGGCTCCCATTTGGAGCATGTGTGACTTCGCTGTGTAAACAGAAAAGCATATATCTAAGTTATAAATCCCAGAAATCTATGCCTTACTCTGCAGCTGTTGCTGTAGCGCTAAAAAAAAGGTGATGGTCATGTCTCATCCTCCCATCTGCTTCTCCAGAAGCAGGTGGAATTACGTAGCTCTGACCTCTTTCACGTGCCCAGCATGGGCAGAGAGCTCTTGTGTACCAGTTGTCCGTCCTGCCAGGAGTACCTCAGAGAACTGTGGTTTGAGCATAGCTTCTGTATGACTGCTGAAGCTGGGTCCATCTTCCCCCAGAGAAGCAGCAAAAAGAGCGCTGATAGAGCTTCCAGTTGCTCTGTACTTGCTTCTGGCTCAGTCTGGGTGGCATAAAGGTCTGCTTTCTGAAAAGTGTTTAGGTACCTAAGGCAAACACCAGAGAAGCTTTTAGAGAAAACCCTAGGCAAAATTTAAATGCATCTGATGAGTGTTCAACAGAACCCCTGTTGAGGCAGTTAAGAGGCAGTAGACATTTAAATCTTTGCCCGGTAAGATACCTGGATACCTAGTGTTCAGCTGCTGAACATCTCAGTATTAATTTTGTGTCTGATTGTGTCTGTGCTGGGGATTCACAAATTAGGTAGCTGGATGTCTCTTTCCTATTCAAGCTTGCTACTTTACAATTGAGAAGATGAGCAAGAGGGATCCCAGCTTGGTGAACTCCCAGTCGAAGTTTTGATCACTATTCCCAAAGTACTTCTGCAGTTTGTTCAGTGGTTGCAATGCAAAAAAAATGCACCACCTGAAAAGCTGCAGCAG